ATTTTTCTCGCTCAAACTCGCCCATACAGCACGCATGTCTAAAAGACATCTTTAGGTCGTCTTTTAGTTTTCGACACAGTCTTCTTTTAAGTCGATCCACTTAATCCAGCGGCGCTCCAACGGTTTTAACCCGTCCAAATAATAATTGGCGTCTTGCTCTGGAAAATAGGCATCTGCAGATGCTGTAACCTCCTCGTTCGACGAAAATTTCTGCCCTCCGAGCCAAACTTCGAGTTTTAGGAAACAGAGAAGAGTCATTGCGGACTAGATCTGGTGAATACGGGGGGTGGTCAGTCAGTTCGACCTGCAATTCGTGAATTTTGACCCGATATTCGATTTTTCCATGTATACGAAAATACTAACATCCACTGACACAAACGACTGTCGTGCAACAGCCGAGAGTCCAAAATGGCTGAAATTTTCAGAAGTGTCCTTCAAAGCATGTACAGTCGCAGTACTGAAGTGACGACGTCAAGTACTGCCATATTCATGTTGAGGCTCAAAACTTTTCAATCCGCCCCCGTATGAATTTAGCACTGAATTATTAAGTGAAAAATAATTCAGTGCTACACTTGCAACTGTTTTCAGTGATAATCTCGATCTTAAGACCGGGTCTTTCATTTTCTGGTTAATTGTTAACCGGAGTTCAGTCGACTGTCTCTTCCCTGGCGGAAAAAATTTCTATAAACAACTGCAAAAATTGACTTGAAATAGAAATTTGTAGAAATTTTTGTATCTTCGTTGAAACATTAATTTTTTTTTGTAAAAGTATCTACGAAATAGTATCACAAATTACAATGTTCTCAAATCGAGAAATTATCGCAAGTAGTATTTCATGAAAATGTACAATTTTGTAAAAATTTCTACAAAACTTTACCAGTTGTAAAAATTTGAGAAACAACAAAATCTTAAAGAATTAAAACATCCGCTTGCTCGTAGAATATTGCAAAATTCTAGCATTTTCATGTTGAGTTTTGTAACACTTAAAATTTACGTAGAATGTCTCAGATTCCGGCAGTTATATTGTATATAGTTTTGTAGAATTTTATAGAATTATTTCCGGCCGGGGTTCTCAGTGAAAAACCGGGGCATTGGGAAGCAGCAGCGGGAAAAAAAAACAATATCGCGGTGCCGTTGGCTTAAACGGCGTTTTCCCCGCGCAGCCCTAGCCCCTTGGACACCATAGATCCGTTGTTCGTTATCGGGCGGAGCAACGGAAGGCGCGCACGCGGGTATGTACGCACCTGCGCGTGTTCTCGCGTAAACAGTAAAGTAGGCTGTGTACGCGTGTGCGCGAGAGCGTGAGGTGAGCGGGTGTAACCGGTTCCACCGATTTTTTCACGAAAAGCACTCGCGACGCTTTATAAAATTGCGCGTACCCTTTGTCGTCTTCGTCGTCTCGTGTCGTCGCCGCTCGACGTCACGTACATACGCGCGGTGCACACGGGACGCTTAATCCCGAACGATCGCGACGTTCGACGCCCTCGTGAAGACCCGAGCGAGTACTCGCGGCTATATTCGCGCTTGTATCGCTTCGAAGCGATAACGGAGCTCGCTGGTCTCTCCTCGGAAGACCGCGGCGTTTTCGTTTTAGCGAGGGAGGACGACAAAGAACGCAACGGATTGCCTCGATATCTAAACACATAAATTTCGGCGTGCGCGATGTCTCGAAGCTAAGACGGCAAATTGGGACAAACACGGGATTTTTTATGGGGAGACGTTGGTTTCATTTAAAAAAATTGCGCAGATTCCCCGGTACGCCGTTGCGTGTGTAAAATTTGTTGACGCCGCAAAGAGCCCGCGTTCAAACGAAGCTCGCAATGGAAAATGTTCATTTAAATAATTTTTCACCCAGTTACGGAGAAATTTTTAATGAAATGGATTGTAGCAATGTCGCTGTTAGTTGGAAAAATGAATTTAACGGAAATTATCCGTTGGCTGTACCGTCGTGGTTAGCAGAAATTAGATCTTGTACCGTGTGAAACGACAGGGCGGTGTTCATAGTCGAGAATTGTCGTTTCTTATTTTATACATAAATGTTTAACCTAATTATTTCTAATTCAATATTTATGAATTTAAGTGATTGAGCAAAATAATAACTTTATTTAATGTAGATCGTAATAATTCTTCATAATCGCTGCCTAAAATACGAGATTTTAGTGAGGGAAATTATTATGCATTTTCATGAAAAATGTATATAGAATATTTATCGATAATCAGAATCATAAATTCATGAAAAAGTGATTATCCGTTAATTAATAATCGAACGGTGCACCGTTCGATTATTAACTGACCGCACATTATAACTTCGTCGGAAATTAAGTTAACCGTCGATAAAATCTATAGTTATTTAATGTAGCGGACACAAAAACGACCATAAATCGGACGGCAACTGAATTGCGTTACGCAATAGGATCTAATTGTATAATTCGTCATGATTTTTGCTGTGAGCTTTCCTGCTGAATACCATTGACGTTAGCATAGTGCACCAACTGTTCTCGGTACGAATTCTTTTTGTGTCAGTTTGACAAAGACCCTTGCACGCTCCACAGAACTCCGAACCAATAACAGAGATTTGACGGATATAATCGGCAAAAAGTTTTGCAACAAGTGGCACGTGCATAAAACTACGTTGAGTTCTAAGAGCTGCAGTGGGAATTTTTGTTAATGTTTTTACAAACCACCAGTTTTCATAGTTTACAAAACGCAATTAAACGATATTTCCCTAATAAAATTTTCAATATTGCGTCGTTAATTAACGATTTATTACTCGCACGCGTCTACACCAAAAAGTGATTTTCCCCGTTCGAACGTTTCGACCTTGTGACGAAGACAAATTAATTGGGACAATATAATTTAATTACGTTAATATCGCACCTTTCAACGATGCAATATTAATTAACAATAAGACAAAAAGATTTAACGATTATTGCACCACACACCAAAGTTAAAATGTAAAGAAAACCCGAAATATTAAAAAATTTTTAACAAATCCTTCACAGTTGAAACATTTGTGTTAAATTTAACAGATGTCCCAAACGGTCCACACAAATTTTTGTGTTAATTTAACATGATATGGATATGTTAAATAATCACACTAATAGGCCTGTTAATATTTTAACACAAAATAAATACAAATCTCAAATTGATTTTAAATAAATTTTGTGTAACATTAACATAATTTTAATGACAAAATGACTTTTAAACATTGTAATTTTTACATTTTTCAGATGTAATAAATGACGGTTCGTTATAGAATAAAATCAACTTTTTATTCTGCAAATTTTAACAGATAATTCTTGTTACTAATAATATAGAGCATATGTATTGCGTAAGATTAAAAAATAAGTACACGTTGTGTTGTTTCAACATTTCTTTTCAGCTATTTTAATAATTTTACATTTGAGGTCGATTAACACAAGAGTGTTAAACATTTTGTGTTAAACATTTAACACAAAAATTTTAACCGGCATATTTTTTAACAAGAAAACACAAACTTTCCAACTGTGTTGATTTCAGAGATTATGATTCGATTTCACTAAAGTGACGAATAAATCCTGATTTACTTTCGTTCATATATCTTTTACGCTGAACTGTATTTTTGTAATGTAAAGAAACACAAGTTCGTAATTTTATACGGGTTCGTCCTCATTTTTGTCAGCGCGTTAACTGTCGTTGTTGGACGAAGCGTGCGCAGACGTAACGCGCGCAGAACCGGCGCGCGATTCCTTTGATGCCGCGTTTAATATTATAAATTGAGTCGTTAGACGTCCGAGCGGGACGCATAACACAAATAATACATGGTGACACTCGCAACCTGGCACGATCGAGCGTCCGCGTTTACAACAACCGAGGAGCAACGAAACGGCGTTCTCGCGTGTATTCGCGTTTGATTTTTCTGACGTTATGTACACTTCTTTAACTAATTCGACGAGGATCGAAAATATGTGCGAGAAGCATCTTACTAGTAAGAACTTACATATTCTTACTTGAAGAAATTCTATTCGAGACTATAACAATTGTTACGAAGACGATAATCGCGAGAATTTTACAAGTAATTTGTAATTCTGGAAAATATTTCGTTCCGCTGCTAATTATAATGCGTCGTTGTTGAATTTTCTTTTTAACTGATAAAAAGAAACACACTCCACGTTCGGTTCGTCTCAACCGGTAGCTGGTAATGCAGTACATCGTCGAAGAACGGAAACAGAGTATAAGATTTTTTTTATCGCTCAATTATTAATCGAAACTGTTGTAGAAAAAACACTCGCGACACCGTTGCAACGGTGTAACATTGTAGACGGCTAATCTTTTTCACAATTGAAATAATTTTCTGCGCGCTAACGCCCTCCCAGTACGCATCACGGTTGCAGTAAGAAGTAACGAGCGAGTTTGGATGATAACGTGGAAAATGTTAATTCCGTTTAGGAACTTTGTCGCTGGAGCAAGCCTTGTCCAATTTCTTTAAAACCCGTTGCTGACGGAGAAACTTCGAAAGTACTAATTTGTAACTAATCCTGAATCAACAAGTGTTTATTTATTATTATTACCAACGATCGGCCATCGTATCATGAAGAGATCACTGACAATCAGAAATTCTGTTGACGATTGTATTAGTCTTTGGCAGTATTTCACGGACGATATGTACACAATCTTTTTCTTTTTTTAATTAAATACAAAAAGTGCGATCGAGCTAATTTGCGCTATCCAGCACGTTTTGAACGATAACATTCACTCGTGGCTTTTGGAGATCCTGCAATCAGAGACTGGCCATAAGAGTTCGTCAAATTTCTGCGAGTGAGAGAGAAACATAGGCCATCTCACTCTTCTACGAACGTAACGCAGGAGTTTGACAAACTCTTACGGCCAGGCTCTGATTACAGGGTCTCTAGCGGCTTTCAGCGTGTACTGCCATCTGAAGATGTAGGTATGAAGTACACGTTTGAATCCACGATACTCCGATAAGAAAAGCGCCAACAGTGCCAGAAATGAAACGAGAATATAGAAAAACTTTCATTTTAATCAGTTTACACAATCGTATGGCTAAAGAAACTAGCGATTTTTATTCCATTCGCAACGTACAAATACAAATAAAATAATCTTTATATTACATTAAAGTAAAATATACAGATTATATCCGCGTCCGCGCGGCAAATCGTACGGTGCGCGTCATTTTATATTCAAACGCAGGTTCTGTGCGGCGGCAATCATTTGGCACCTTTGCAATTCCATCTTCTGCTCCTTCAGCTTGAGAAGCTGCTTCTTCAGCTCCAACTCCTTGTGTCTCACGACCATTTTCTCCTTGTGTCGCCTCTCCTTGTTCTTCTCGGCCAGAGCGAAGTTCTTTCCCATTTCCCCTATGAACTTGTCAAACAATACGGTCAAGATCTGCTTGTGATCCAACGTATCGCCGTCTCTCTCGTTGATCACGGGCGCTAGTGGATCCTCGGGTTGCCGATCGCCACGCGTGTCGCCGCCATGATTGCAACTGGGCTTCGGCAGAATCAAGGGATACTGGATCAGTTCGCTCGGCGGCTGCGGCTCGTTCGTCTCCAGATACACGTGTCTCTTCTTCTCATTGAAGATCTCGTCCAAGGCGCGTTTGTGCTCCCACTGTCCGTAGTGTCGCATCCTGCCCGGTTTCTTCAGCCGCTCGCGGAACACGAGGTTCTTGTACTTGCGCTCGAGAACCCGCCACTTGTTCTCGCATTTCTGCGGACTGAAGTAGAACCCGTAATTCTGCATCTCCAGCGATATCATCTCGAACATCTCCCGCAGACTCCTGATCTGCGTCGATTGTCCGACCAGCGAACGATACTTTTTGTATTGGCTGATCAGACAGGTGGTGGCCTTGCTGGTCCACAGATTTAACGCGCCCACGTCGACGCTCGATGGTATCGCGCTGGCGTTCTCCAAACTCGAAAAGCCGTTCTCATGCTCCTCTTCGACGTAGCACTGAAGGGTCGGTTCCACCTTGACTTCCATGTGACCGTCAATTTTGTTCTCTAACAAAAATAATAATTTATACGAAATTATATACATATATTATATAACTGTGTAAGAAATGATGAGATACACTCGAAAGCCGCACGACCTCACGCGCTCCTTCGCTCAAATTTTATCTTTGATATTTTCTTGATTTTTAATGAAGACGAGCTCGTGTCAAATTTCTCAGTATTTTCATAAACGGTTAACTGTGCAAGTATTATGGAGTATAAATAATAATTTTACGCAAACGAATATAGGACGTGCCGAGCAGTGGCGTAACTACAATGTTGGGGGCCCCCGGGCAAAAATTGAATAGGGCCCTTTATATAGGGGTCAAATTTAGGGATCATTAGAAGGTCAACTTGAAATTTTCAAATGGAAACGAAACCCCTATTTTTGACAACAAAAACGGATAGAACAGAAGATTAAGTCAAGATTTGTCATTGATCTAGCTATCTGTAAGCAGAGAGAAGCCTGAGAGATGTCACGGCCCCGTTTTTCGTGATACGCGAATGCGATACGCCCTCTGTGGACATTGAAAACGTGGACATTGAACTACGTAGCCAATTTGCACATTTTGCTAAGTGGGCAACGCAGATTTGCGAAATTTTGGTTGCGTTTCGTGCTATAATCAGGTCCTGTGCGATGCTCTTGTACTTAAGATTATTTTAAGTACAAGATCATTGCATGGGATCTAACCATAGCGCGGGACCCCGAGCGGAAATTGAATCAGTTTTGTAATAAGGTCCTTGACAGGTTAGCCCTAATGCAAAGTCAGGTCCTGTTAGGGAACCCTGATAGGGGCCATATTAGGAAGTGTAACGCAATTTCCCGTTAAAAACCTGATAGGGTTGAAAAGTCAGGTCCTTATCAGGCTGCCTTTTAAGTTCCTTGTAGGGAATTACGTTACATGCCTGATATGTTTTGGGTCAGACATCTTATAAAAAAATTATCATTATATTATAATATAATGATAATTTAATCGGGATATAATAAGGTCTTTATCAGACAATTCCTAATATAAAATCAGGGCAGCGATCAAAATAGTAAGTTTTCTCCAAGGGCGGAGACGTGAAAAAG